ATACGACATTAATTCTCTTAACCAAAGGCGTCATAGAGTCAAACCTTATTATTAGCCACCGTGCTTTTACTATTTACTTGTCGATTCACTTTAAGTTTAATAATTAATAATATGGTGTTTAGCTTAAGGGAACACAGTAGCGTATTAAAACGAATTCTATAAAATATAATATATTCACTGCCCTCTTGTCGTAGTTCGAGGATACTTAATTTAAAAAACCTAGCACAAAGGGTCGCGGTACAGTGGTGACGTAGAATAATTGGATCAAGTATAATAATATCTGACAGTGATTAAAATCACTATACAAAAAAAACGCTTCGATGTAAATCTTAAGATAGTGTTTAATTTTAAAAACTTGGTGGATTATTCCAAAAGCTACATGATCTGCTAGTTCCTTATTAATATCCTGATTAAAATAAAGTATATCAAATGAAAAAGGGACTATTAAAAAATATTATTTCTCATAAAAAAATTGTGTTAATCCATAAACTTTTCAATAAGTTATAGAATTATAAAGTTAAAAATGTAAAAAATAAAATCGAGAATTTTCACACAAAAATAGCATTCGGTAGTCATTTTCACCGTGAAGACAAAATAAAGTCCGAAATTTTTTTCCATGATAAAGTATATTACATTAGCTTTAATTTAAGATATATATAAAAGTATCAGATTTTCCGTAACATTTTCAAAAGTCAAGTTGAAAAAGTTAATTTTTTGTGAAAAAGTTGTCATTTTAAATCCCCAACGTGGGCAGGTAAAGGGTCAGATTTATGAAAAAAATATATCAAATGAAAAGTAACGATATCATGCATCTAAAAAAAATATATATATATTGATATGTTCATTTTTAAAAAAGTTATAGCAGTTAAAAAAAAAAAATTGAAAACATTTAAAAAATTAACAATTTTTAAATTTGTAATTTGTTTGGAAGTTTCCCTCATTTATGGGGAACGAGTTATATTTTTTCAAATTTCGAGATTAATGCCTTCGAATAGATAATATTTGTGAACTTTTGACGTATCATTTAAAGAAATCGGTTCGGTGAGAGCTGAGAAAAAGTGTTAACAAACACAAAAAAAACACATCAATGTAAAATTAATACCTTCTCAGTTTCGCAGCCCAGCTAATAAAATGTCTTACAATAACTGAAATATTTATTATTTATAAGTTTTACATTGCGGCTAACTCAACTTATCGCAGAATAAAATAATTAAATAATATTTATGTAATTAAATATTATGTAATAGTATTTTTCAATTTTATTGTCTCAGATTCATTTTCTTAGTACTATAATACCATCAGCCTTGGTGCATAAATCGTGGTGCTAATTGAAAAAAAGTCAATGGGTTCATAGCTAAATTTTATTTGTATTTTTATTTTTAATAAATTAAGCAAAAGTCATAATGAAATAATCTCATTCGTATTTAACGAATTTAGTTGAGTTAATACAAGGAATTGTAATTTTTCAAAAATATTTAAGGGTTGGGTGGTAAACATTTTTTTGAATAGGTGAATACTTCCATTCGTAATTCTTTTTTATAATAAATAAGTTTCATGTTTTTTGTAATTTTTTTTACGAGTTATTTGATATATATTAAATAGTATATGATCTATTGAAACTAAGTATAGTGCTTTATGTTCACAAGTTGACTTTTTTGCTATGCGGAGTGGTTTGATTATATTAGTTTTTTTTAAATTATGTTTAATGTACTTTTAATTCCTTTTTTAACAACAAAATTAATAATTTTTATTATTAGCTTTGATGCGAAGTCGAAAAACTATTAATTTTATTTTGATGTGTTCTTTTTTTGTGTCTGTTACCACTTTTTCTCAGCTCTCACCGAACGGATTTCTTTCAACGATACGTCAAAAGATCACAAATCATATCTAGTCGAAGACATTACCCTCAAAAATTAAAAAAATTTTCCTTGTTCTCCTCATTTACGGGAAAAAAATTACAAATTTAAAAATCGCTTATTTTCGAAATTTTTTCAATTTTTTTTACTAAAAACTGCCATAACTTTTTTAAAAATGAACATATTAATATATTTTTTTTATAGATGCTTGATGTCTTTACCTATCATTTGGTATATTATTTTCATACATTTAACCCTTTACCTGGCCACAGGGGGGATTTAAAATGACAATATTTTCACAAAACTTTTTCAACATAACTTTTGAAAGTGTTTCGGAAGGTCTGACACTTTTATATATATTTTAAATAAAAGCTAATGTAATGCACTTTATTTTGGAAAAAAANTAATTGATTTTTTATGATATTGCTATCACAGTCACGGATTGTTTATTATCAATTATGACTATCAATAGATATACATTCTGTATTGTCAGTGAGTTNGCTAATGTAATGCACTTTATTTTGGAAAAAAAAAATTTGACCTCTGGACTTTACTTTTTGGTGAAAATGGCTACCGAATGCTATTTTTATGTGAAAATTCTCGATTTTATATTTTACATTTTTTACTTTAAAATGCTATAACTTATTAAAAGTATATGGATCAATACATTTTTTTTATGAGAAATAATATTTTTTAATAATCTGTTTTTCATTCGACATACTTTATCTTATTTAGGGTATTAATAAGGAACTAGCAGATCATGTAGCTTTTGGAATAATCCACCAATTTTTTAAAATTAAACACTATCTAAAGATATTTTTATTATTTATTTTCTTAATTATTTTANGCATAAGGGATGAACTTAAAAAGTATTACATAGTTAATAATTCAAGAATAATGTGTAACTAAAGATAATAATAAAAAAAAAATTTTTAATTATTATTATTCTGTAAGTAATTGAGTGGGTTATGATAAAAAAATCATACAGTATACAGGTAAAGAGTTTAAAGTCTATACCGACGTAATAGTAATGTTATGTTTGTTTATATTTATTTATGTACGTGTAATTCAATAATTTTTTAATAATTATAGACAGTGAAACTCAACTAAACAGATTTTTGAACCTATTCAACTTAAATAGTCGTCAAAAACAAAAAGAAGAAATATTGTCGTCAACACGTAGTTATGGAGATAGGGATTTATTTAATTTAATATCAAAGGGAAAGAGTTACTTCACTATTAATGACATAAATCGTGTGGGGGATATGATAAAATGTTCACAATATAAATCTGATAGCCTACAACCCTTAAAAAAATATACCCACGAAAATGGCAAAGTCACATATGAAGGTAATTTAAGAGTATTATACTTAAAACAAAAGGTACTCTTTTATTAGTAAATATAATCCATAAGGTTTTAAATTGTATTGCTTTTATTATGAATTTTTACAAACCGAGTGTGTGTGAATAGCTTTATTGTACTGTATAAACTTTCATGAGCCTACTGAGTTATTTAAAAAAAAAAAATGGTAAAAAATTTGCTTCTATGCATACCTGTCAATATATTGATTTATCCTTCCGTGTTTTTTTTTTTGTGACATATTTGAGATTACATTCGCTCCTACTGTATGTTTTTTATAAATTTTATGATTTTTAAATTAATTCTCTACAGCACTTTAATTAATATACGTATTTTCAAAAAAGTATAATTAAACAAGGATACTTGTCTTAAATATTAGCACTGAAAATCTTATTTTTATTGCATTGAATGATGTACATGATCCGTTACTAAGAAAAAATCTTAAAATCTGCAATTTTACAAAACATTTTATTTGTCCTAATTTCCAATAACTCTTAGAGATCAAGATTTCAAATAATATATGTTTTTCATCAAAAAATGCATTATATCATATTAAATTTTATGGAGGTTTAAAGAAAAAAAAGTTTTTGGAATATTGTAAAAAATTGAAAAAAAAAATACTTTTACAATTTTTAAACATCCATTAAATCTATGTCATTATTATTAATTAAAAAAAAAGTATGGAGTCAAAAAACATAAATCTGTCGTATTATCAATAAAAATGTCATAATAATCTATCCAATTCTCCAACAATTATTTCAATATAAACTGAATACTAAAAATAATATTGTTTCTTTTATAACAACAGTAATTTTGTGTGTCATTTTTCTTTATTACTGAAAGTGTGAGGAATATTTCAAAATTAATATGTGACAGCTTCAAATAGACACATTTTATGATATACATATTTTTGAGTAAATTGGTCAAATAGGAGTGAGAATATTCGTGTATATGGATGAAAAAGAAAATTGCAAAATAAATCAACAGATTTTTAGAATGATAAAATTATCCGAAATCTCGTTTCTAAGAGTTAATAAAGCCAAAATTTATACGATATTTATAAAATTAGATTATTTTAAAGTTCTTTGAGTAACAACGGAACATATGTATCATTCAAAGCGAAATCAAATTTATAATTTGTTTTATGGACCTTAGAATAATAGCTTGTCATTAATGAGTAATTGGATTCTAAAAACGATAATCATTTAATTTTTGGTAGATATGACAAACCGCTCTAACTATTTAAATAATGCTGGTATTAAAATAAAATTTACAGTGTTAATTTTTAAAACAATTACTATTGTTTCAACATACATTTTATGAAAATTCAATTATTCACCTAGGTACCTTGGGGTCTTAAATAAAACCATTAAATTTTGGAAAAAAAGCCAACTTTAAGATATTTGGCATAATATTGAAATCATTCTAAATTACTTCAAATGGAAACACTTTTGTTAAGTAATATAAGGTGTTCGGTTTATCATAATCCACTAATCCAGTCGTAAAATAAATTCAATTTGGAAAACAAATTTTCAAAACAAATAAAATTGAAAATTATCTAATTAAAAAAATGACTCATTGATAATAACTTTAAGACCAGTATTTTAGATGTTATTCTCGTTTTTTACTTAGTGGGACGAAGATTAAAGGCAGATAATTACTAATAATATAAGTAACAGCACCAATTTCTCACCATCAGTCTATACATTAAAATTTTAATAACTTTTTAATTACTGATATAGAATTGCTATCGACCAGTCATTTTCTTAATTAAATTATTACCTATTTTATAAACTAGTTAAATATGTATGTTGCCATTTAAAAAAATTAATTTGAGATTACATGGGTTAAAAGTAATTATTAGCTGATATATCAAGAATTATATATCGTAAATTGGTTTTCCCATATTTTAAATATTTCGGATGTAATTGAGTAGTTTATGATAACCCTAACACTCTGTATATGATTAATAAAAGAAAAACATTCCTGTATCTTATCTTTAAAATTCTTGAACTTGAATATTTTGCTGTTTTCATAACATTTTAAATATGTCCTAATTACACATCAAGACTTTTAACACAGTAGTATTTATTTCTTTCAGTAATAATGATTACTATAAATAAAGATCAATGAATGATATTTTTATTCCATTATGCTTCATCAAGACTGTAATTAACATGATCAAAAATAATATGTACTGTCTTATAATTTTTTTAAATAATTGTCGTAATTCCGATAACTATTAATGTAATAATATATTTAGTGAAAATATTAATAATTAATGAATAGGTAAAAAAAAACCAAAATGTCTCACCTGACTTTGTTGGATTCCTACTTCACTAAAATTGTTTTACTTATATTTTGCAGATTTTTTAAAAATGTGGAATGGTGATAATCTCAAAAATTGAAAATTATTTGATGTAGCGAATTATAATTTAAATAAATACTTTTATTTTGTATTGCTAACAATGATTTATATTTTGTTATATACTTTTTAATATACTTTCCATTAAAATTTCATTTTTAAATTACACGTTCCTCATATTTTTTACAGATATATTTTTGAAAATTAGTTTAGTTCTGTTTAATATAAATATATCAAATAAATGTTTCTTTATATTATGTTTTTTGTCAGTTTAACCAACTGATCGTCACCTATTGAAACTATTTTACTCAATAATATGCCAAAAAATCTAGTGGCTATCAGCATAATAATTTAAAAATTACTTTCAATACCAGTTAAAAATAAATTAATGTGTTCCAAAAATTCAATAGTTTTAAAAAAGTCAATATTGATATTTTTATAATTCTCTAAAAATCCAGTATCTAGGTGATTTATTTTAAAGTAAATGTATTTATGCAGTTTTGAACGTTTCCAGGTGAAAAGTGTTTAGGAGGTAATGTCATAGGTAAAGGGGATTCTAAGGATTTTTCAATATCTTTTAGAGATGGGGGATTAGGAGATCGTGATGAGGTTAGAAAACTTTGGATAAATGTTCACGAAAAATTTCTGTTTTTTCGTGGTTATAAATGGCCTAAGTTCCATCCACTTTATTAATAGGGGAATTGCTGAGTGGAAACGTAGCATACTTCTTGTTGTTCTTCATAATGAACCATTTTTAGTTGACAGAGAAGCAGTATGTCTAATAAAGGAGTTTGAACGTAGCTCTTTTAATAAGCATTTGACACGCGTTGGCAGATTATTATAGTATTGTTTATCGGATAGAAGCCGCGGCCGCTGCCAAATTCCTCTTGCACGATGTTTTTGTGTAATTAGGTTCCTAGCAAAAGCAGATAAGGGGGGCGAGTAGATCGGAGTTAACTGCGATTATGAAATACATGATTCCCAAGCGGCAGATTGAATAATTGTTAACCACGTTGTCTATTTCATCGGGTGATTTTAGACTTACATTGAGATTAATGTTATTATTTAAAATATTTTGAAACTTAGGCCAGTTCATATTTCCATTTGTAAGAGAGGGGTTTTTTGAAAAAAGGGGTACTGAGGTTTCAAGTTTTAGTAAAACTGGAGAGTGGTCTGAACATGGATCTAGTAGATTTTCTATTATGTGAAAATATAGTTGGTTTTTGTAAAAAATAATTCCTTTATATTGAGACGTTTACTATGTTGGCATTTGTGGTGGGATTATTGATAAATTATTATTATTTATGACATGGAGTAAAGAGTTTCCTCTTTGGTTGTTAGAATGACAACCCCATTGTAAATTTTTAGCATTTAAATCACCACCCACGATGAAACTGTGGCCTAGAGTAGAAAAATAACTATTGAAATTTGACGAAGAGACCGAGTGCTTAGGAGAACAGTATACAGCTGTAATTGTAGTGGGCACATAATTTAGTGTTATTTTTATGGCAGCAGACTGTAAAAAATGTTCATTAAATTGGCTATATTGATAAAATTGTATAGTGCTTTTAATTATAATAGCTGCACCACCGTAAGTGGAGTTATCCGGGTGGTTTGTATTAATTGTTTTGTAACCAGGAATTTTGTTCGACTAGTGAGATGGGTTTCAGAGATTAAGACAATATCGATTTTTTAGTCAAGAAGTAGATTTAAAAGTTCATTTTAGCTTCGATGCGAAGCTAATATTTTACTATGATTATACTATTTTGATTTTGATTTTACTATGTTTTTTTTTTTTTGTTGCCACTCTCCACCAAACAGATTCATTAAAATTATAACATTTCTAAAGGTTGAAATGACCTACATACCTAAACACGTTTGGAATTCACGGCCACTGTGCTACAATACGAATGTTCCAAAGAAGTAGCCATTTTTAACCCCTTTTGTGGGTAAGTAAAAAATCAGAAAAGAAAGTATATTCTATTGGTCCAACCGTTCTTTGATAAGAGGCTACGAGATGATCCTACGATTAACAGATTAACTTTTGATACCGTAAAATAAACATGAAATTTTTATAAAATTTATAATATTGTATAAATTTAACTAAAAACATTAAACTATGATTTTTCTTAAAATCTAATCAAAAAATTTCTGTCGTAATATATATTTTTAGATTTTTGGTAAATTTACAAAAAATGTAACTTTTAGCTTCAATGCGAAGCTGAGAAGGTATTAGTTTTACTAAAATGTGTTTTTTTTTGTGTGTCTGTTACCACTTATTCTCAGCTCTCACCAAACGGAAATTCTTTCAACGATACATCAAAAGATCACAAATCGTATCTAGTCGAAGACATTACCCTCAAAAATTAAATAAATTACACTCGTTCTCCGTAACTGGGGAAAACCTCCAAAAAAATTACAAATTTAAAAATCGCTAATTTTTCAATTTTTTTACTTAAAACTGCCATAACTTTTCTAAAAATGAACAAATCAATATAAATTTTTTTTTTATAGATGCTTGATGTCTTTACCTATTATTTGGTATATATTTTTTATAAATTTAACACTTTACCAGGCCACAGAGGGGGATTTAATGTGACAACTTTTTCACGAAAAATTAACTTTTACAACTTAACTTTTGAAAGTGTTCCGGAAATACTGACACTTTTATATATATCTTAAATTGAAGCTACTATAATATACTTTATTATGGAAAAAAAAAATTTCGGACTTTATTTTGTATTCATGGTGAAAATGGCTACCGTATGCTATTTTTGTGTTAAAATTTTCGATTTTATATTTTACATTTTTAACTTTAAAATGTTATAACTTTTTGAAAAATGTATGGATCAATACAATATGAAACAAATGTTGATGATTTAGACAAGTGGTATTCTTAACCACTGTCGGGCTATCCAGGACCTAGTCCGGCAAGTGGCATACGAGATGGGCACTGACGTGTGCATCATCTTAGACTCGCACGCCGGATCGGTTCGGGACTCTGCCGGCTGGTTCTTGGACCGGTCCGGCAGAGCGGCGTGATGGAAATAGGTTCGTCTTGCCCCTTGGTATTGAAGGGTATGGTCCCATCAGGTCGATACTGATTACTTCCCACGGCTGTCCAATGTTAAATCGCAGTTACCAATATTTCTTCAAAATTAAATTTTTTACATAGTTCCATGTATAATAACCTGCTGAATTTTTTTTTAATTATTCTATAATATAAACACAATTATTATAATTAGAATATTAATAATTTTTGCGTATACCAAGGGTGTATCTAAGTGAGATATGGGCCCCCCTTTAAACCGGCGCTATCAATATTTTTTTAGGCAACTTCTAATAAATAAGGACCTAATGTCCTTTTTTATCATCATTACTTTAATTTTTAGCAAAAAAAATTCTATAACATGATTAACAAAGTAAAAAATATTAAATACCCTCCTAAAATAATTTTTAAATAGGCCTAAAGGGAATACCTCGTTAACAAACGTCAACCTTATACCCAATACATTTTACTATATTCCCCTTTAGAATTTTCCTGATTTTAATAATAACATTTTTAATATATTTTTGTTACACTGATTCTGATGTAATATTTTTTCTGCAAAACACTTATTGTGCCCGGCGTAGCCGGGTACCCCTACCGGAATCAGTGACCTACTTATGATGACGGCTCGTAGGGCTCTGTATCTGTGGCGGAGCTCAAGTTATAATTAATTTCTGCCGCTAGAAGATAAATACTTTTTTTTTTTTATCAACCCGAAGGTTGATTTAAAACTTTAAATTTCTTTTCTAACCTATTACTTATTAAAAATGCTTATCAAGTATTATTTATGTTTAAATAAATTATAGAATATTAGTAAATAATAATTTTTAATATTATTGATTTAGTCATTTTAATTTAAGCATTTTTTGTAATAAATTATTTACTTTATATTATGTTATATACTATATAATATATAGTATATATTATATATACTATATTAAAATATAGCGTGATTTTTTTTTCATAACCCACTCAATTACTTACAGAAAAAATATATTTAAACATTTTTTTTTTTTTTTTATTATCTTTAGCTACACATTATTCTTGAATTTTTAACTATGTAATACTTTTTAAGTTCATCCCTTATGCCTTAGAGGGGGGTCAACTTTGATTTTTTAAATGGTAACACATATTTTTAATTTAATAAAATGTTTGAGTTTTTAATTTAATAGTAAATGGCATTTGAATTTTTAATATAACTTTATTCGTTTATTAGATATAAACATTTAAAGTTTAAAATTTTTGAGTTAATATACATGTATAATACACAAGAGATTACAAATACAGGTAGCTAAATGGTTTTTATGACATCGCTGTCACAGTCACGGATTGTTTATTATCAATTATGACTATCAATAAATATTTTTTTTATATAGTCAGTTAGTGTACTTATGAACTCACAACAACGTGGTCAGGTAAAGGGTCATTTTTATAAAAAGAATATATCAAATAATAGGTAAAGACATTATGAATCAATAAAAAAATTGTATGGATCTGGTTATTTTTAAAAAAAGTATGGCAGTATTAAGTAAAAAAAAATAAAAAAATGTAGAAAATTAGTGATTTTTAAATTTGTAATTTTTTTGGGATTCCACTCATTTACGGGGAACGAGGGAATTTTTTTCAATTTTTGTGGTTATATCTTCGATTAGATCCGGTTTGTGATCTTTTGACGTATCGTTAAAAGAAATCGGTACGGCGAGAGCTGAGAAAAAGTGGCAACAGACACAAAAAAAGAACACATCAAAATAAAATTAATAGTTTTTCGGCTTCGCATCGAAGCTAAAATTCATTTTATAATGCTATTTCTACTTAAAAAATGTATGGATGATCATAATTTTTTTTGAGAAGTACTATTTATATTCTTCTTTTATGCGACATACTTATTTTTAAATCGGTCCATTTCCTTTTACATACTATTACTCTTTAAATACTATCTACATATTTGTATCGAAGCGTTTTTTAGAATAGTGATTTTAATTACTGTCAGATATCGTCTATACTAACTACCCTATAACAAATTAACAACCTTTTCACTTGGTATATCTGAGTTAGGGAGTCTATTTGCTGTTAAACATGTATGTTAAGACCTACCGATCTAAACTAACCAAAATCATGATCGGTTAAGAGCAGTGTTACGTGTGTAATGTACTAAAATAGAAGTTTCGAAAATATTTAAGAATCTTCAAGGATAATTTTTCTTAACCACACAAATTATTATGTTATAATACCTACACCAATCATTATACAGTAGTCTATAAATTATTGTCCATTAGTCATCAAATCAAATATATATTATTCATGTCAATCTTTTATACTATTTCGAGAAAGATGTGTAAAAATAATTGATACAAATCTAATGTGATAACTATAACAAATTCATTAGTTATGACAAATCATCTATTTTAATAAAATAATATGTAATAACTAACACAATTGAGTAATAAACAGATAATAGTAAAGGTCGTGACACATCTTGCACATATAGATGAGATAAAGTTAATATAAAAGGGCATAAAAACTGTCAATTCGATCCACTACTCCTTCACTCTATGAACTTTCAACAAGTGTAAAAAGTGGCTCGAGAAATTTATAATTTCACAAAGAAAATCGAAGCACATTGATTTTCAATCTTACTTCCAACATCACTAATGTAAATTCACATTGCACAGAAGATTTATAAGGTTTAAAGTTAAGTATAATCAGTATACCGAAGATAAATTCTGGTAGAGATAACCAGAACTTGGTAGTCTTAACAAAAAATTCTGTTGACTCAATGACAGCAGTAATTTTTGTTATCGAAACAAAACGAATTTTGCTTTATGCATTTTGTTACGGGAACAAAAAATATATAAAATTACCAAACAATTATTTAATATTTATTTATTGAAAACTAAATTTAGCTGGGCGCTTAATATACGAAAAATATGACACAAAGCACTCACGTTTTTTTTCACAATAATACTAGTATTTTTCGTTCATTATTGTTTTAAGCTTATTTTAAAATTATTTTAACTTTTTTGTTCTGTGTGCTTTAAAAGCGTGTTTTTTTAGTTTTTCAATTTATACTTATTTTTTACTTTTTAGTTTTTAATGACATCGCTGTCACAGTGAATGGAGTGTTTATTGTCAATTATGACTATCATTAGATATAATTTCTGTATTGTCAGTCAGTGTATTAATAAACTCACAACAATGTGTCCTACTACTATTGTTAATAAAGACTGCGATATCGTCATAAAAAACCTAGCTACCTGTATTTGTAATCCCTTATGTATTAAACATGTATATTAACTCAAACAATTTGAACCTTTAAATGTTTATATCTCGTAATAAACAATAAAAATTTGTTTATATATGTAATATTGATGACTCTCGTGCATTTACGGGTACCAAAACCAAAAATAAAATTATTCAGGAATAGTGTTGGTGACGGTTGGTGAGTGGGGTGAGGTGAATGAGTTACGCAGTTTAGTCTCAAGTCCATAGGTGATGGGTTATGCGAGAATAATAACATGTGGCGCGTGGAGAGTTACAAACTAACATACATACAGGTGAAACTAATATAAACGTGTTAAAAATATAAATTTCCCCGGCGACTATCCCATCATGAAAAATAGGCCGCCAAATTAAAAAATTTTTTTAATAAGTATACTTAATTTAAAGTGTATAAGTTTAAAATTAAATAATTCCACAAATAGTAGAAATATATAAAATTGGTTTTTATACTAAATGACGCAGAAAAATCACAAAATAAACACGTCATTTTATCATCATAAACCAAATAATATTTTACCAAGCCAATTTATTATTTTTAGTAATTTGTTATTACTAATTAGTAAAATACGAGTATTTAAATATAAAAATTAATTATTTTAAAGTAATTAGTGATTTTTTTTAATATGTTAAACACATTATATGTTAATATGTTATCCCTGAAAAGTTTCGATTAGGAATGTTACGTTTCACCTATTTTTTGTTCTATTAAAAGTAATTTTTATAAAAGTTTAAAATTTNTTTTTTTAATATGTTAAACACATTATATGTTAATATGTTATCCCTGAAAAGTTTCGATTAGGAATGTTATGTTTCACATATTTTTTGTTCTATTAAAAGTAATTTTTATAAAAGTTTAAAATTTAAAAAAGCTAAATTAAACATTTTTTGTAGCGAAACATACATGTTTGATATTGATATCATTAAATTGAAATTATTATGAAAATTTAAAAGTCGTATTGTTTAGTTTGATATGTGGCCAGGAATTTACTATTAATTTACTATTTACAATAGTTTCATGAGACTAGCTCAAAATTTCCTTAAAATCATTATTGTTTTGTATTAATGTCTAATTAAATAATTTCAATAAAAATTATAGTAATCATTTCTATGTAACTAGTGGTTAAATACATGCTATAATTGAAATATTCAAAAAATTATATTCCTTGTAGTTATATTCTATATTCTGTAACATACTAATATGTAGAAATATTCAATGCCCAGTTTTACACATAATTTCGTTCGAAGTATTTTGTTTAATAATAACTTATGAATTCACTTTAACAAACACTTCCATATTTTAAGCAATATTTTTGCTAGAAATAGTAACATTTGTGTCAAATTTTTTTTGTAAATTTTTGTCAGTAATTCAAACATGAAGTAAAAATAAATTTATAATTAACAAGTTTTAAATTATTTTTAAAATATTAACAAAAAAATGTTTTTTCTATATAATCGATATTATTCTGAATAATATTTTATTTACACACATTATATTTCTACTTTGATAGTATAATTTAATATTTTAAAACTTCTACAAAATAAAATTTAAAAAATGCGTTATCATAATACATTATTATTAATATGTATATTTGTATGTATTATGTCAGCATTGGCCGGAAAAAAAAAAACGTGGCAAAGATGTCGCATCTTCATCAAAATCTGCTGAGGTAAAATGATTAATGATACTAATTTTTAATTTATAAGCTATAACTTAAAATGTAATTCATATTAAATCGCATAAAAGAGGTTCACTACTTTTACTTACTGAAAATTTACAAAATATATAATTATAAAACCGTCTTGGGATAATAGACAGAAGTAAGAACTTCTGCTATAAATATTAAGCGTTTTTTATGATAGTGATTTTAATCACTGTCAGATATCATCTGTACTGGACCCAACTATTTTATTTTGAGAATAATCGATAAAAAAATTAAATGTATAGTTTATTTATTTTATTGATTTATGTTTGTTGATAGACCGAAGTATTTTGTTTAAGAATAATTTATTAACTCACTCTACCAAACAGTTTTACATTTTAAGCAATATTTTTGCGAAAAATTGTAACATTTTTTCAAATATTTTCTGTAAATTTTTGTCAGTAATTCAAATATGAAGTAAATATAAATTTATAATTAACAAGTTTTAAATTATTTTTAAAATATTAACAATAAAATGTTTTTCCTATATAATCGATATCATTATAAATAATATTTTATTTACCCACATTATATTTCTACTTTGATAGTATAATTTAATATTTTAAAACTTTTAAAAATAAAATTTGAAAAATGCGTTATCATAATATATTATTATTAATGTGTATATTTATATGTATTATGTCAGCATTGGCCGGAAAAAAAACATGGCAAAAATGTCTCATCTTCGTCAAAATCTGTCGAGGTAAAATGATTAATGATTCAAATTTTTATTTTGTAAACTATAACTTAAAATGTAATTCATTTTAAATCGCATAAAAGAGGTTCACTACTTTTCATAACAATACAAAAATTATTTCCCCAAAATGTATGTAAGTTATTAAAAATTATATTATTCATTCTTAATGAATAATTTCATTGATTATTTATAATCATACATAATAAGCGCAGTCATAACAAGTAGTTAGATCTACTAGTTACTATCGAACAATTACAAAATATACAATTATAAAACCGTCTTGGGACAATAGAGAGAAGTAAGAACTTCTTTTATAAATATTGATTATTGGTTTAAATTAAACTATAAAATGAAAGATATTACATATCAGTGTAGGATAAATAAGTATAATTCATTTTTTATAGAATCAGTTTTTTATTTATTTTTCATTTTTACATGTTACACTTCATCACGTTTTTACTTGTATACATATAGAACATATGTATATACTTGATTATAATTGTCAGTGTCACTAAATCGTTTCACCCGTTTACTCCTAAGAAATCTCTCTCAAAGAAATTTTCACTTTAAAAATAAGTGGATACTGTTTTATCACGTACAAAATCGTACAATAAAAATATATATACATAACGAAATGTTAATTCTATCAATAGTTATAAAAATTATTAGTTAGATATGTTACTTGCTGTATACGAACAAGTGATAGTAAATTATTATTTTTACTGAAATTCAAATTAACAATATTAAAACTTTAATTAATACACAATTAAAAAAATACAAATTTATAAACAATATTAATTACTATAAAACCTAACCAGCACAAAAAATTTGTTCAAATGTAATAAAATCCTTTAACAACTCCCCTCCTAAAAATATATCTGATTCAACATTAAATTACGATGAAAATAATTATATCGACAACGTCACATTGTTGAATAATATTTACAGTAAATAACGTAGCTTGTTACGTCTTTTAATTATAAAAAAAGCATGACAAATAGTCATTGATCAATAACAGCCATAAAATTGCTCAACTGTTAAAATATTTGATTATTATTTCTATTTTTCAGGTTAATTTTAGTAATGATGAAAATTTGATAGAATCTAATAATATTTAAATTGATCTAAACCTATTAAATTTTCAACTTGATTTTCCTAACGATATACCTCTCAACTAATTTCGTAGGACTGATTAATGATAGTCCTAAAATTAATCAACTTAAGGGATTTTCGATATAATTTTAAGAGTAATATTAAAAGTGACGAAACCGTCGCGATTTCATCGCCTACAAAAATAATATAATATAATTTTAAACTAAAAGACTTATGACAGTGTTGTACAGTCAATGAGATGAAGTAGTAATAGTGGGTGTTGGGTACGCATTACTAGAGGGCGTTTTGCTACATCTTATTTTTATGACTGATAACGTCTCTCGCACTACCTCCACCGGTTGTGAGGGATTCGTCATTACGTTGAATGCTAGTGTACGTGATTCTTATGTCTCGCCGAACTATTATCGGTTCCCATTGGTGATTTTTGCGTTCCCGCCACCATTGATAGCCCTTGCTACGTGGTTCTATGATGCACCTAGCTCATAGTCGTTTTAATGGATTAATCATACTGGTGATTCGTCGTGGGTATAGAATTGCTATACCAATCTATGCCATTGTGCTGCGCCATTGGTGTACATAACAAGTATCTCCGTTTGTATCGACTGCCCTTGTAGTCTTCAACATTTTAATGTAAAGTATTCCAACTGTTCATTTCTCACCGTCACCAGTCATCTTTCATCTATTGTACGTTACACAGTTAAGTTTTTATTTGTTTGTAATTATTATATTATATTTTATCTATTTTGTTCAGAGATGCCTTGTTGGCCATTTTAGTATTAAGTGACCCCCCCATTCAACAAGTTTATGATAGTGTATACATATATTGTTACTTTTTATATATAACTCCTTGTCTTATTATTTTATTTAGTGTAAGTACCTCAGTCTTATATACAGTTCACTGCCTATTTCTTTCTCCGGCATAATTAAATAACCCAACTGGACGTTAACACTAACCCGCACATTATAACCGGGCGTTCCGTTGAAACGGTGGGTTTGTTTACTTTATCAATGATCAACAAAGTAATTATACATTCGCATATTATTTTATGTGATAACAAAAAATTTACATTTCGTAGAATAATATTGAAATTTTTCGTTAATTAATTTTACCGAAAGAGAATAATACTCCAGAAACACAATCTACATATATAAAGGTATTGATATACAAAATGATTGATGTATCATTAACTAATAAATATCTCCTAATTATGAAATTTAATTAGTTCTTTAAATTCAATAAGGCTTAGAATTTTCTTAACTGCAACTTAAACTATTCCTTTTCATTAATAATAAGCTCATTCCTATTGCAATTACTTGATAAGTTTTTGGTCTTAAATTACAAATCGACTCTCCCGTTTTTGCTATAAAATAATTGAGACAGTTTCAATTTTAAAATAACTATTAAAAGTATAACAATGTTACTGTACTCTTTTCGTATCAGAGTCAAGTACAATCAGTTATTCATTAAACTACTATATAAATTATAAAAAAAATTACTGTACAACTTACATTCTTTACTTTTTTTTAACAATTAAAAACCTTCAAAAGACAGGTGTAACTTACAAATTTTTCAAAAATTGTTTTTACATAATTTGATTAATCTTATTTAATATATAAGCGATACACAAAGTATTTTATAATACTTTAAACTTCATGTTTACAGTTTTTAATTAATTAATTCTAAGATTTGAACTCATAGTTTAAAATTTCTAAAAAAGTAGTAAAATTATATCAAAACAAAAAATATTTTTTTAAAGCAGAAACTTATTTAAAAGAACATACAATTATCATAAAAATTTTCGAATTCTTTACAAATCCTTAGCAATATAAAATTTTCATTCCGCTTATGAATAGTTTAGAGTTAAAATAATTTAGTAATTAATTGAAAGTTTATTTTTATGTCTTAGGTAAATTATTTTGTTTAGTTTCATCAAAGTATAATCGTGTATTGGTTTTAAAAATATGAAACACTTCGTATTATATTAATTACAGATAAGATTATCACGTAATTGTAATAACTTTCTTATATGTGTTGAACTATTTACAGTTTTATGTTTCTAACATAAAATAATAAGTTAAAAGTTATGTTTGAGTTATGAATAATTACTTTTCAATTAATATTATAAAGTCTTTATGTTAATCAGGAATAATCCACCAATTTTTTAAAATTAAACACTATCTAAAGATTTGCATCGTAGCGTTTTTTTTGATAGTGATTTTAATCACTGTCAGATATCATTATACTTGACCCAACTATGCCACGTCACCATTGTACCGAGACAACCTGTGCTGGTTTTTTTTACTATTTTATCTAAGTTTTAAATTGACAATGTTGTATTTTTTAGAAAGATGTGACAGATGAACAAATTAGTTTGCTTACAATTATTTATAAATCAGTGACTTCTAACGATACGAATAAATTAACTATTACAGATTTGAAGTACATTTTTAATAAACTTGATCTGGTAAAAAAGGATGAGGAATATGATGTTATGATGAAATTACTTGATTCTGATAACGGTAATTATATGATTAAAGGTATTAGAATAGATATCTATACGAAACAGTAGCTGTCCTAAATTATTTTTTTGAGAGGAGTGATAACAAATCACATCAATTTGTTGGTATTTTTATAAGTTTTAGTTTTATTTTAAATAACTTTTCCGCTCCTCTTTAATAAGACTTCACTAATTCACTACTAATTTATCTGTTAACAATATTTTGAAAACAGAACGGACTATAGCAAAAAAATAAAATTGAGTTATTTTTCCTAAATAACTTTTTCTCTTCTTTTTAATGGGACTATTCTTGGCTTATACAAAATCGAGATTAGCATGACAGGGTTGGTATTTGAAAGTGTAATAGAAATCATGTAAAAAAAGGTGATATAATAAGAAATTAGAACCATAATCTAAAAATATAGACAAATTTTATCTTTGTACGTTTTATGTCTCAATTCATTGTCCTTAAAGTTAACAGAATGGTATGCAGCTTAGAGAAACACATTACCAAATCAAACAATTACAGAAATAAATAAATTCATTGTCTAATACACTCCCATGGTAATAAAGAGAAATTATAATTTTCCTAAAAACCTACTTTATTAAATCCCTTGAGTACTTTTTATTTTTTTGTTTCATATTATTACTTAGAAATC